TTTTCAATTTAATTATTCTTATCTGTATTTGTAGATTGATGTTAATCTTTTTGTTTTGGAAACAGAAACACCAGAGTTGGGGGTAGATTCAACCTTAATCTTTTAGTTTTGGAAACAGAAACACCGGAGTTGGAGTAATAAATAATAGATGAGATTTTAGTAAGTTCAAATATATACAATTTGTGTTAACAGATATAAAGCCACTCTTTATAATGTACAATTATTACTGTGAACACCTGAGGTAGGTGTTCAGAATGACTTAATTATAGCCCAAATCCCTGTTGCTCTTAGAAACTAGGGAGAGAGTTGCAAGTCATAGAATACACATTCAAGTAGCCCACTAAGTAGGCTGTGCATTAGCAAACTGTGGAACTGACATTTAGAGCAAAACATTTATAACTAGCTCTCTGTATTGGTGTTACTGGCTTCTGTGATTGTGGGCAGATATTAGGATCTTCCAAGAGGCATTTTATTATAATTTCTTCCTTGGTTTTGGCTTGAATACTGTTAATCCATTCACCTATCCAAAGTGTTAAACCTTGCAGTGATCCCCTTGAGGGATATTATTGGGTAGGAACCACAACTCGAAGTAGAAAAAAAGAACCAATGATTGATTCATTCAATGATTGAATACTTTCTATTCTATTAAATTTTTCTGATGTTACAAACAGCTGTGCTGAATATTTTTAGTGAGCATTTCTATTAAGCACAGACTGGGGACAACAAGTCAGAGCTGGCAGGGACCAGTGTTTCCTAGAATGTTTTTGGAATGTTAATAGTTTTGTGGAATGTTAATAAATGTTAAATGAAATTAAGAACAAACCAAAAAACAAGCAAACAAAATTCCCTGGTCATGTGAGTTTGGAATGCACTAGATTACACATGAAGTTGAAGGGTTTATTTTTTTTTCAACTTTATTGAGGTATAATTGACATATCACAATCTGTAACTTTAAGGTGTACAACATACTGATTTGATATACATTTATTGCAAGATGGTTATCACCACAGTGTTAGCTGACACCTCCATCCCATCACATAAGTACCATTTCTCTTCTGTGGTGAGAACATTTAAGATCTACTGTCTTAGCATCTTTAAAGTATATAGTACAGTATTATCTATAATCATAATGCTGTATTTTAGGTCCCCAGAACTTACTCATCTTCTAGAGTTTTTTGTTTTTAACTGCAGGAATTCCCAGAGCCTTTAATTGATCCGTATACCTTGTTCTTCTTTAAGATAAGGAAGAAGAGGTGAGACAGCAGTAGTATGTGGCGTTTTCCAAACTTACTGGCCATGGAATAACTTTTTAGTGTCTCAGGAACTTGGTGTGGCACAGACTACCATTTGGTCAAACTGGTCAGGCTGCAATGAAATCATTTTGCAGTTCAGAAAACTAAGGCCCAAATAATTTATGTTACTCAAGTAGTTAGAGCTAGTGAGATGCAGACTAAGTCTTAGATCACTGTTCCTTCCATTGGCAAGAAAGGAGATTTAATAGCTCAGAAGACATAGGTTTAAATATATGAGAGTGCAAATAAGATTTTTGTTGTCATCTTTTAAGATTTATTGAATCTTAATATGTTGTCCCCAAGTGCTAGGTCTAACCGGAAGAGGCAGCACAAGTAGTCTGTCCTTTCAGCTGCACTGCCAACAAATGGAATCGAGGGTTTTCATTCTTTTGATGACTTTTTAAATGGGTATTAGCTATGTAGGCTGCTTTTGAAGGTTTCATTTTTCTGCAGTGTATGAAATAATAAAACTTTTGTGGAATCAATTTCTAAGAACTGGATATTTATGAGAGATACATTTTTAATATAAAACTAAGTTTTGCATTGCCCTAAAACAACAAATTAAAATAGTGTAAATAATATGTGCTGGACGTTGGAGGGGTGAAGGGTGGGAAGAGGGTTTAAAACATTATTTTACGTAATTTAGATCCTTAACTGAATGAAAGCTTCCAAATTGCAGATAGAAAAACTTAGTATTTTGCATTGAGTTATGATTTAGATTGATAATCACAAAATTTTAAATAAAATTTTATTAGGTTATATCTTTGAAATAGACTTGTCTGTCCCCTTGACAACTTATAAACGAGTAAGTACCATGTGCTAGGGTCAAAGGCCAAGGCAACAGGACCAGCAGAAGTATTTTGTTAATGTGAGGGAATTTTGGATAATCTGTATGAATAGTTGTAGGACTTGGAATTCCACTTGGGCAAATAGGTACACCTCATTGATATTCCTTGGTTTAGAAAAAAATTATGGCTTATCTTATAAAAACTGCTGTTTAGTGTTTTTTTTAAATATAGGAATTTAACATTGGTCTATTAAAACATTTCAGAAACATAATAGTTTAAATTACTTATGTGTTGAATATTTTATATTGCAAGAATAAATAGTTGATTGTAGTTTCACTGAGATTTTTAACAAAATTAGTAGTGTGTATACCTCTCCTTTTTACCCCTTCTCCCCCAATAACTGGCACGGTTAATAACAAGTCTTGGAAAAAGAATTTACTAACCGTAACTGACAGGAGGTTTAACTAGAATTTTATGTGCTTAGTGAACTGTTTAGAAAATTTTGCTAAGCGTTCAGTACTTCTCTGGAAGGAATGGGAAGGTGTTATGAAACAGGACACCAGTGACAAGTAGAGTGGTACTGAGAGCGGTAAGTGAGAGTGCTTTAAGGGCAGCAAGGTCAGTAACTGGCTGTGGAATGTGAGCACTGATCTGTGGGTGACCCTTTCTTTGTTTAGAGGCTTCCAAAGGGTTTTTAAACTGGTACTCTTGCCTTTTATGCCTGCGTTCTGAACATAAACCATAATCCTTGTGTTATTTTTATGTTAAAGAGTAGACAATAATTGACAGTAATTAAAGAGTAGACATTAATTCATAAAATTTTATGAATTTTGTCAAGTTAATCAAATTATTGTTACCAGTATTGTTATTGACAAGAAATTTACCTGCTTAAGTTTGAAAAGCTTAATGTCAGGCAGGTTGTTCTATCTTCAGTGATAACAAATCAGTATGTTCCCTGGAAGTAATCTTTAAATTGGTACATAGAAAGATTGAAGACTAGCAGGACAAGAATTTTTAGGTCTTTTTTTTTTTAAAGCTGTGACAGAGATGTTACATTCACACATGACAAAGATACCTGTAAATTATTGTAGCTTCAGGGAGACCCTAGTGTTCCTGGGGAGTATTTATGTACTTCTCTTTATTGTTACTCAAAGTGGCTTCTATCCTAATTGATACATCAGTTATGCCGAACCTGAACTACTTCCAAATTCTAAAGTATAATGTGTATAATATGGTTAATGTGCACATACCAGAGAAAAGCATAGAAACCCTACAATAGCAGATTTCTCATTTTAAAATAAAAATCTACTATGCCTCATTTTCTCTACTTTAAAACTGACTAGTCTTTCAACTATCACTTTTTACTCTTGGGAGGAAGGGTAGGGATTGTCTTATGTTAGGCACTGTAAAAAGAATCCAAGACCACAGGGTTGTACTTTAAATTTCAGTAGAATTACTTCATACCAGCATTATGAATATTTAAAATTCTGGTATATCTTGCACTCTCAGAAAGTTCTCTTACCAGTTAATATAATCAAATTGCATATTGATATTTGAATTAAGAAAAAATTTTTATAGTCTCTGTATTTTCGTATACCATATCATCTAGGGCCTAAATGATACTAGCTAATTATTAGATGGCTTTGGTGTGCACTAGTAGTATTTTAGAAGTATATTTGCTTTAGTTTTGGGGGTAGGAAATAGCTAATGTATTTTTTAAACTTCACTATGGAAAACTTTAAACATTCACAAAGGAGAATCCTATAATGAATCCTCATATATTTGTCTCCTGTCCTGACTAGTTTAATGTAACAGCCAGTCTTCTACATTTCTCCCCAGCCAGTCCTTTCCTCCTGGTCCCAGTGATTTTGAGGGAAATCCCAAGCATCATATACTTTCACTGAGAAATATTTCAATGTGTATCTCTAAAAGAGAATCAAATTTTTTGTATTCCCTGTGAGTAGTAGCGAGCTTTGTTGTGGAGAGTAAGTCCAAGAGTGCTTGGAAACAGGCCTGCCAGTGCATTTTATTGTAGTTAATTTGCATTTAGAAAGATCAAGTTTTTACTACTTGGGTATTTTACTATTATAGTAACTCTCAAAGGATTTGAAATGTTGCTTTTGTAAGTAACATTTAAGAACACATTAAGTACTGTCATGGATATGTATGAAGTTGTGTGACAGTTCTCATTTCAGAGCTAACCTGCAGTTTGCTTTGTCATTTGTTTATGCCCCCCACCACCCTGATTTATGTTTCTTTATTTAAGTGCTGAGAAATACATAACAGTTTCAGATGAAATTCTGTAAGCTTCGTTGTAGGTCAGAGAGAGCAAAGAGAAAAGCTATGCATGTGGGACTGGGGGAAAAGGCCAGGGCAGCCGCGGGTGAACCTCATCGCCCGGGGACCAAACTGTGGAGGAAAACCCACTTCTTTCCCTTTCAGCCAGACTCCTCTCTAGGTCTTGGCTTCTGGATTTCTCTCTTTTCTTGGTTTGCCCTTTGGTTTCTATCTTTTTCTTCTCTTGGCCTTTACTTAACTTTGCCTGTGGCATTTATGGTCCGGAGGATTGCTCACTTCCCCTCTAGAAGATGTTTGATGACATAGGGGTTGGAGATAAGACTGTAACAATGAATGTCTTAGGACTAATTTGTGGTGCTTTATTTGTTCTGACACAGATTTTTTAAAAACGTTAATTTAAACTGATTCAAATAGTTGGATACTTACTGTGGGCTAAACTGAATTTTTCCATACTCAGGGTGAATTTTTCCTTACTCAGTGTATGAAAACATTGATTTTATATAGACTTCAAAGTTTTCTTTAAATGCTTTTATTGAAAAGTGTGTATTAATTTTCCATCTTTGTTCTCTTTTACTTCCTGTTTATTGGATGAAACTGATTCTATTCGAATGTGACTTGGCAGTTCACAAGATTTCTTTGCAGCTCACCTTTGGAGGTAAGAGTTTACTCATCTTAATACTAGATTTGCTGTTTGAACATCACTGCTGGTATCTTCTGGAGGCATTTGATAATTTAGGAGAGGTCAGTTGTTGTGACACATATATCCTTTAATAATACTAATAGGTGAATACAAATTTAAGAATTCCTGTAAGTTACAGAGCTGTTCACCTTACAACAAATCATTGCCTCTTTTAAAAAGTACACTTTCTTTTTTAATAAATAGAGTGAAATCAGTCCTTCATTGTAAAGAGCCTTGTTCTGTCTCCTTACTCGTAACTGCTTAGTATCAGCCTTATCCTCTCTGGTGTTAGAGAGCTGGAGAAGTCAGAGGTAGAGACTGTCATCAAGGAGGTTTCATTTCACTTGGTTTGAGAGAGCTTTTAAAACTTTGTGAAATTGATTAGGAAAGAGCAAAGGACTTAGCTTTTCTTAAGCTTCTCTTGCAACACAAGCACTATTCTAGGTTCTTCACTCACTTTCTCATTTAATCCATAATGGCTCTGCAGGGGAGAACAGAATCTAGGGATAAAATTGTGAGAGAAAGAAAATCTATGAGCTATTCAGAGAACCAGATACCATTATGAGCTGCAGTTGGCAAAAGTAGCTTGTAGAAGATGGGCAAAACTTTGAGAAAATTGTAGGAAAGGGGAGGCAGCAGAGTGTGTGGAGGCACTCTTGGACTTAGAACCAAACCTGGATTTAAGATCGTCACTTACTAGGCACATGACACTGGGCAAATGGCAACTTCCCTGTGCCTCAATTTTCTTATCTTTAAAATGTAATTAATAATTCTTGCCTCTCAAATGAAGTGACGGACTCGGGATCAGCTTGTAAAGTGCCATTTAAATCTTAGTAATATTCTGTATTCTCTTAGGTGTGCTTCGGCCCCACACAGTAAGACTCTGTTCCTGGCCTTTTGCTTTGTGCTTCCTTTTGCCTTTATTGTTTGCTTCCGCCATTTCTTACATGTTCAAATCATATCCCTCTTCAAGTTGAGCCTAGATACTATGTCCTATGCTAGGCTCTCTCTGACCTTTCCATGTAGAGGCAGGTGTTCCTTCTTCTGCTTCTATAACGTGGTGTTCCTGTAGTTATTGAAGCTGTTATTGTGATGTGGGATAGCCCAGCCTGGCATGGGGAATACTCCTGGTGGCCAGTTTGAACAACTGCCAGGAGAAACTGATGAGACTAGAGAGGCTAGTACTCGTACCATCCAGATTTGGCTACATTTTCTAAATATCCGGTATCAAGGGGAAAACAAAGCATGTAATGGAAAGATTCTGGGCTTTGAAATAAGAGAAGCTTGGGTGGCCTATGAGCAAATCATTTCATCTTTCAATTAATTTTAAAATGGAGATAATAATGTTTATTTAGAAGGTTATTAAAATGAAATAATGTAATGTGTGGCAAACATTGAGCACAATGCCTGCCACATAGAATTATAAATAAAGTTTAGTGTAAAAATAAAGAACTGAAACTTAAGAAACTTGAAGACAATATAAGGTATATAATCTACTCTTTAGTTGATAAAGCACTTACTAAGCATAGAACGATGGGATGTATCACAAAAGAAAGGATGAAAAAATTAGATTTGATTCTGTAAAAACTAGTTAAAAGGCAATTTGGGGAACATGTGATAAAAGGTTTTACTTACTGTAATAAGCTCTTAGAATCATTTAAAAATATTTTGCATAATATTTGGATTTTTATCAGATAGTTGCTGAGGTAAAATACAAATGGTAATAAATATGTTTTAAAAGCTTAACCTTTTAAGTAATCAGAGAAATGCAGTTTAAAATAATAGTGATACATCGCTTTTTACCTATCAAGATACTTTTTTTTTTCAGCAAATGCTTGGGAATATGTGTTGAGATATGGGATGTCTGTAAAGTCAATCCTTTATAGAAATCCGTTTGGTCATGTACATTAGAGCCCTTACATGAATTCGTACCTTGTGGTTGAGATTCTAGTCTAAAAATCACTGCCAGGGAAATAATCAAAGGTGGGTGTAGAACATGCATAAATGTTTATTACAGTATTATTTATCATGGCAAGAAATTAACCTAAATGTCCATCAGTGGAAGGTCAAATAAATCATGGCATAGCCAGTCATATGATAGAACCACTCTACAGCCATCAAAGGGGGATCTTACAGATATGTTCATGAGCACCTACTGATGAACAAAGACGGTGTAAAATAGTTCTCTGTTAAGATAAAAGGATGCACAATAATAGAGATCTCAATTTAAAAACAATTTTAATCATTCAGAAATTAGGAAGGAGATGCACAAAATGTTAACATTAACTACAGAATGTTAAATTGTTTACTCTTTGCTCTTCCATGAAGAGCCACAGTGGGAAGAAGCAATACCTTGGTAGGATTTTGGTGATGGCTTTTGTAGTCAGTGTTTGGAATGTGCATCAGGAAAGTCTGATGTGGAAACAGAGTCTAGTCTTGGAAAGAAAGGGACCTGCAGGAGCCTAGATGAGAAAATGTTGATAACGTTTAATTCTGGACTCTCATTTCGGCAAGAGCTTGGAGGAGTAACTAGGAATAAGGGTTTTGAGCAGAAAGCAATGAGGCTGGGTTGGCTTACCCTGCACAGGGAGTAAATCTGGAGGCTGGAGCTTGATGCCAAGGCATGGGGCACGTAGCAGTTTAAAGATGTTGCTAAACAATGGCAAAGATGCTGCTGAAGAGACCTCACTAATAAGCTTCTCTCAGATGTAAGCTCGATGAGAGAGGACTCTCCTGCTCTTGCTTCCTTGGTTCGTGTGTCTTTAATCTTAGTAGACTAAGTAGTACATTAGAGGGACTGAATAAATATTGGCTGAATGAATGAACAAATGCATGAATGAGTAAGCTAGGCAGGGCTGAGGCTTTCATCCGTAATTGGGCAGGACTCAGGTAAAAGCATACAAGACCTAATATTTTTGTTTCAGTATGGTTGCCAGTCTGTCTTCTGAGATGGATTATAGTTACTTAAAATCAAGCTCTTTGTCCTTTTCATCCTTGATGCTTTCAGGAATAGATAGAGCTTAGAACCATACAACTAGAGTTGGTTCAAATACTTTTTTTGAATTACGTCTTTCTACTCTGGTTAAATATCGGGAATCTATATATGGAAGCTTTAATCTTTGTTGAAAAGTAGAAGGGAAAATATCATGATCAAAGTGCAGTCATAGTTTCCGTCATTTTCTTGTCTGATATGCTTTCGCCAGTGAATGATCTAGAGTTTTATTTTACCACGATTCAATTGATCTTTTTTCTTGCTGGGCTTATGGACATGGATGAGGAAAATAAATCAGAATCAGAATTAAAGGTGACCAGTGTGCTCTTCCTTTCTTGATGTGTTTGGGAAATACATTGAGGGCTTTCTCTTGATATTTTTCAAGCCTGGAATTTCATGGAGGCCACCTGATGGCGTACTTAGTGGCTGCTACCCCCAAATCTCCAGGAGCACTGAGCTCAGGATTCTTTTTTTTGCCACTGCACAGAGTCTGAGAGCTCAAAAGCAAAGACAAGACAGAAAGAACATTGGTAGTCTCTGAAAGTTTAATTTTGCCATTAGCTAATGTTTTAGCTGGAGAAGGAAATGACAGATATGGTAAATACCCTAACACCTCCCTAATTTTAATTAAAATAAAAATAATTCTGGTAGAGACAATAAAATACATGAGACTTCCAGTTGAAAATGAAGGAAACTTTAAATTTCACTTTGTCCACAAAAACTGCTATGAATGAGCCATGTTCTTTTGTTGTAAGTCCTAAACAGTTAACTGCCACATGAATCTAACAAAATTGTGAGGTTATAGTAATTACATCAGTAATTTGATCTGCTGTCATTTGAATGGAGCCATGTGTGGAGAGTCAGTTACTTCCCTCTGTGGGGCTGACCCTTTTACATTCCTGTAAGCTGAAGACTAATAGAGCTCATTAAGCTTTATGGGAAAAGAGCTTTTATCACCTCGTCAAGCCTGGCAACCTATTTCCATTCTATTCCTAATTGTGTGTGGCTCTGGAGCTGCTGCTGTACACCCCCCTGCTAGGTTTACATGGGACCGCTCCCTTACAGACCTTTTTATTGACATTTCTAAGTCTGAATTACATTTTGTGTGGCACCACCTACAGATGTCTTCAATTAAATGGAGGTAAATAAAAGGGATTATATATCAGAGGCTAAAAGATTCTTGAAACTCTTCAGAGGCATTTTGCCAGCCAGGCCGGTAGGGTGCAGTCTCATCATCGGGTTGGAGGTGCCGAGCTGTGGAAAAGGCATTTGTAAGAAAGGCTAAGCCCTGTTGTGGGTGGGGGCCGCTTAGGTTTCTCTTCAGGTGTGTCCTTCTATTCTGCACTTGAGATCCATCAGAATACCTATTAACAGTCATTGTAATAACTCACTGAGAAGCTGGCTCCTATATGGTAAGCGCGCTGGGCACTGCTCACACTGTTTTCAGTTCTCACGGAATGTCTGAGGTAGATAGTCCCCGTTTTCTTCTGAACAAAACTGAGCCTACAGAAATAGTTGAGCTCACAGCTGTTAGTATGTGACAACAGTAAGCTAGGAAGGAGGGAATGGAATGATACTGCTGTAAGATTCTTGTGTTATATGATGTGATAAAATAATATTGGAAGGAAATCAGTGATAAGGTTGAGGTGTATTTTGGAAGTCCTTGAAGTAAGGTTTTTCAACCTTGGCACTATTGATATTTTGAGTCAGATGTTTTTCCCCATCTTTATAAATTTGTGTGTGTGATAGAGAATTTTCCTATGGTAGGATCATACATCCCATTTTATATTGTTATATTTTTACTTTTCTAAGTAGTGTTTATAATGTTTGAATGTTTAAAAAGTTGTAGTGAAAATAGTTTTTAATTACTTCACAGTAGATCCTCATTGAATGTACTGTTAGCTCATTTTATTTTACAATTTTGTTTGATTTGGTTCTTTCTCCCCAATTTGAAAGTGAATAGAAGTTTTGCTACCAATATCAT